CACACCCCCACTTCTTTGTATCTCCTCGATACCTGATTACATTAGGGAGAAGAGTTGTTCTACTTTTTGCCTAATTAAGTCCCCGACCCACCTCGCCAACTCTACTCCCTGCTCAGTCCCCTCGTTCTACGTGCCGAAACCAGGACTTTGATAGCCAGAACGCCTAATCGAAGAACAATTTACTCATATCCTCAAAAACGCACGCGCCCAATCATACGCTCCCTTGCGCCATTTTGCACTAATGGGTCAAAAACGTTTTTCTGGGCAAGATTTAAAGCATATCGATCGCTTCACACCGATCATCGTTTGATCCTACCCTCGACATTTCGTGTTTCGCTGACAGTTTTCTCCATTTCTTCTTTTCACGCCTTCGACAACCCTCATTAGACCTTTTTAAAAAGTGTACACAAGTGGGCGGCTGGTTGTTTATCTTTCCGTCTAGCCGTGATCTGAGAGAGGTGTTCTCTATTAGGGTAAAATGCTGGGTGAGGATTCTGTCATCAAAATGGCCCAAACTCAAAAGTACTGACAGGCTCTTAGCGAAATTGTAAAATAGTAGGTGGGTTGCCTTCTCTTAGGTCCCGATATAGTTAGTATTTTTTCGGAAAAAAATATATTTGTCTGTCTATTTGTTCATGTATTTACTTATTCTTATATTATACATGTACTTCATATATTTGAAATTTGAAATCACATTCATTCATTCATTCATTCATTCATTCATTCATTCATTCATTATTATATTTATTTTTAATTTATTTGTAAATTGATTTGTTTATTTATTCATTTGTAAATTTATTTTTTGGTTTGTCAATCTATTTAGACGTTGAAAACGTGCAGACTGGTGAGCGGGTGGTAGTTTATCGTTCCGTCTGGCCGTGATCTAAGAAATGTGTCCTCAATTGAGATAAAATGCTGGGTGGAGATTTTCTCTCTCTTTAGAATGGCGCAAACTGAAAGTGTACTCTGGCAGGGATCAACCTGGGCGGGAGATTGACAGGCTTTTAGAGAAATAATGCGGTAGTAGGTGGGTGTACTGTCCTAGGTCTCGATATAGCAAATGTTTATTTGGGAAAATATTTCTTTACTATTCATAGTTTGTTCTCTGATTTATGCATTAGTTATATTATTCTGCTTTATCTATCTATCTATCTATCTATCTATCTATCTATCTATCTATCTATCTATCTAT